TGGTACACACAAAAAGGTTACTCGAAAAAAGCGACATCTGTTATCGAATAGTGGACCTAAACGCAGCAGTATAGAGTATGAACTTGTTTCGAACGACTTTTTATTTTGTTTTTTTGGCGGTTTAAAAATGCTGGAGCTGGACGCACCGCCTCGGGCATGGCACGGGCCGGCCGCACTCAGCCTAGAAATCTTCACTTCAAATCTGTGCTTAATGATTACGTACAACTTAAAATTACCTGTCAATATTAACTGTGGGCTATTATTTTTATGATGTCGACTATTTAATTTTAGGTGTAAAATATAAAATGGATTTTCGTTTAGTTGATTATGAGACCGGATGTGTTTTAAATTATCTTTCAATATTATAGTACCTACACGTAGGCAGCATTAATTTAAGTTCATTCAAAAGAAACATTATTTTTACTTTAAAACTTGCAAAGTTATCTTACTAAGAAGCATAAACCTAAAATATAATCTTTTTTACAAGGGCGACTACAATGCATTAGGAATATTTACAAAAAAAAAACAAAAAAAAATCTTAAAAACCTACAAAAAATTGTGGACCAGTTTGACTCGCTAGGAACGTAACAGTTTGTACCCCTACGCCTAAATCGCTGTAAGATTATACCCACCAATCATATACCAATCTAAATTATGATTGCTCCAGTAACGTTGATGGACGCGCGATGATGATTGGCTTCAATTAACCCGTCATAAGTCAGTTATCTATAAATCAATATAACCTTTTAACGTTTACCTTATCGGGCGTAGATTATCTACATATTGTTCACCTTGTAAACTTGGACCATCCATTTTATGATAATCATGGTTTATTTCGCATGCAAATAAAGTATGTGTCAATTATTTCCCTTATAACTCAGTTTTCTTGAATGAAATATTATTTGACGATTTTATTATTTGTATCACTAAGTAAGTGTTTTGTTTTGTTCTAGGTAAGCTGTGAGAAGAAGTTTGTTAGTAAAAAAACTGACCAATTTTGTGATATTTAGCGAAAAATGACTTTTCGGTGTGTTCCTACTTTTCAAACTGTGTCCAACGATACCAACGCCACCTGGGTAAGTTTTTGAGATAATGAAGTACAATTTAAGCTTTTTGACAATAGATGGCACTGCGTCTTAAAATAACATGCAATGTAAAATATAAAATTCTTTAAACGACTTCACGGTGATTTAGAATACCTAAACTAAGGTAGTTTCTAATTATTTGTACCAGACAGTTTTACATGACATTTTCTTTAAGACGATGGCGCACATCGTGATGCAGCGCCATCTATTTTCAAATAGTCAAACTATGTAAGTAAGTACTCAGTGGAGGGTTTACTTAGTTACGCTACTGGCCACTAGGTGCCGCTATTTGTAAATTGTGAAGCTTTAAAATAATTATACGAATTAATATTAACGATTTACCTATTTTATAAATTTGTATTTTATGCATTCGTAATTCTATACATAAACGTTTATAAACTACGCTAGATTTCAACAAAAAAAATCTATGTTCAATAACTTTTATAAATCATCCTAGATTCAGCAGCAATTCTGCATAATCATCACTCGGTAATCATAAAAAGCAATTAACAAGTTTCAAATCAACGCTTCATTGTCCGAGTTCAAGCGTGCTCGGACCATTGACACATGAGTGTTGTCTCGTTGACATGTCGATGAACTAGTGCTGTGACCTCAGTGGTCGCCCACTCACTGCTTAACCCAGAATTAATCAGCATAACTTGGCCGCTCTTAATGTCGCTGATTGCTTGCCAAGCCATCAACGCCGCTTCAAATTCCGTATTCAAAATTTAGTTCCTTTTTTCGCCACGTGTCAAGATACACTGGTTTTCTTTCTGAAGTGACATGGCTTGTCATGTTAATACCTACTTATTTCTACCTGACCCTGTTCTTTCCCTGGGAATGAAAATAAAGTAAGGATGGGTGAGCCAACGTGGGCAGCAGAAGGTGTTATAATAACTGTACCGTTAAATTTCTATGATTTATTTCATTTAAATATTATGTTGTTATTTTTTAAGTGACGTCAGGTATGCATTGACGATAATTCATTTTGTGTGTGGGTCGTATCGTCTTGTGATAAATTTAATAATTGTTAGTTGCGTATTATTTATTTTATTTTTAAGCGGTAGAGAAAATAATTTAGTCGTAGTGCAGAAATTCTGATGATCGGTTGCCTTTTGAAGTTTATACGCCAAAATAAATGAAAATATTAGCAGTACTATCATACAGATAACTATGTAATTGCAATTCTTACGCATTTATAGTCGACTGAAAATTTAGTACCTAAATACAGTCTCGTCAGATTTATTTTTATTAAAACAATAAGTTTTTCATCTCCTTAGAAAAGCATTTTACCAGGCTTCCAGGTTATTGGAATTTATTTAAGCATTTCTACGTAAGTATGACTGCCGGGCAAGGGGTCTCGGGTTCAATTCCCGGTCGGGCAAAGTATTACTGGGTTTTTAAATATTCTCAGTAGTAGCACGGAGTCTGGAAATATGCCCGGTATGGCAATAGGCTCACCCCCTATTACATGGGACTCATAACATAAATAGTAAAAAGTGGGTGTTACTTCTGTTTGCACCTCTGCCTACCACTTCGGGGATAAAAGGCGTGATGTGATGTTATGTTATGTTATGTTATGACTATGAGTGACAATCATTGTCTACATTTTCGCATTCGTATTTACATAATTAACTAGTAAAAGCAATTATTCCTTGCATACGTCAGCAGTTCGTAGAACAATTAGTAAAAGATAATTAGTTCTTAGTACTAGTCGGAGATAATTACAAATTTTTTAGTGTTCATCTACCATTCTTAGACAATGCTAGGCAACTGATACACATTTTTCAGTCTTATGACCTTCATGTTAAGATTGAAAATCTGTTAATATAAAGCCAGTTATTACATAGGTACTAAACGTTTGTCCTGTAGACTCATAACTGGCGAAAATTGATTTGATGTTATATTCATAGTACCTACCTAGATGTATTTATAATACGTACCTACCGAGCTTTTTTAAAGGGGGATAATCATCGTATGGTTTCTCCCGCCTCGGTGAGGCGGGTGTCAGACTCTTACTGACTAAAAACCACCCCGTTCCTACACTTCGAACCGGACCCCGGTAACCCATTACGTTCTCCGCGACTCCGAATCGGCATCAGCTCTAATACTTACCGAGCTTTGCTTGGTATTTTTATAGTAAACAAAATTTTCTGAAAAGAAACATCGATTTGTTGCCTGGACGCCATGGGGGTCACCGGTGACTGACGTCAGCGTAGAATTTGCCTACAACAGTTTTCTATTGGCAGTCAAAGCCTTAAAAACAAAACAGTTGGAGACGTTTCCAAAATCGTTGACATAAAACAAAATACGTGTTTTTATATTAGGCTCAACGTAACAAGAACAGAAAAGCTCGTCTATTATTTTAACTTGCCAACTACATAACGAACTATAAACAAATCTTATGAAATAGTTCATGCCTCCTTACTTAAAAAGTAGCAATGACCAATATAAAAAGGGAACGCTAATTAATAATTAACACTATAAAACCAATAAAATAGCCCCAAAATGAACTGAAATTAGTAATAAAAGTAAATGCTGTAAACCAATCAAAAGCTTTCTAAGCTCCAGCGACGTGTCGTCAACATGCGTGTACATGAAATATCTTTTCGTTCACGCACACATACATCGTGTGTACAGTCAACGAGGAATAATTTAAACCTTTTTAAGATAAATATATATTTATTTCTAAGTCCATGGTACACTGAGATCTTACATTAAACATAGAAACACATATCCTATTACCATTTCTGGCATAGAAATATTAAATAAGCTAAGTTCGTGCAAATCTTAGACATTACAATAATCTTCATTTGATAACTACAATTGTATCAATTATTCATTAAACTAAATTCATTGAAAAATAATACATTTTGTGTCCAAATTGTTATATCAAAAATACATACAAATTTAATACCGAACAGAATAAAAAAAGAAAATATTTTTATCATCCCCATAGTGTTTAGATTAGCTTTCATTTTTTGGAATTGACCTCCACAGATTTATTATAGGCTTTATTACAACTTTCATTAGGTAGTAATTAGAAAAACATTCTTTGCAGCCTTAATATAATATATTGTAGGTATACACAGAGTGTACCAACGCACCTATCACTCACACAGGCGCACAGTTTTACAATGGAACCTGATATGAGAGGTACAATGATACACATTCGCAGCACAGAGCGAGACGAAGCTTTTACACAGTATATGCATGGATTATAGATCCTTTTGAAAATTTAGTCTTGGAGAGTGTATGAAAACTCTTTGTCTCTGTGTATGAAAACTCTAGTCTGATGAGCAAATTAATTCCATATTTAAAAGTTTTTCAGTTCAATTAATAAGGATCAGGATTCAAGATTGATTAGACTGTAAAATAAGCAAAATAAATAAGATGGAATGAATATAAGTCACTCAAAGATAAGAGTTGCTTAAATAATAAATAAGTAATTCTTATAAGTTGCGCTTTTACAGAAATGTGGTATACGTGATACTATTACGTGGGACTCATAACATAAATAGTGAAAAGTGTTACATGGTACAGTGGCATTAAGGGGGCATTAACCCTTCGGGGGTAAAAGCCGGGATATTCTGTATATGTGGTTTACGTAAAATGATGTTGATTTCGAGGAGGAAGAAGTAGAAACTTATAAACTATTAAACGTTTATCCCCCACTCCCCAGTAACACACGTTTCAAATATGTATAATGCTAAATTATTCAAATGTCCTCCTAAATATAGTCCACTGAAACATTGACGCAATTCAATTATGCACTCGATTAATCAATTACCAGTCGTCGCTCGATCTAGACTAATTAAATGTTAATATATTTCTTGATCTGCATACTTACGGTGGTCTGTGAGGCTGTGGCACTCCCCGTCTTTTATCGCGGTCCGCGGTACGTCAAGTTTCGAACTCACCATGTGATTGCCGCGGGCCGCGACCGACCGCTCACGTGGCCAACACGCGCCAACCTACGAATTTCGAATTTTTAAACCACCATTTTCGAATTCGAATATTTTTTTTGTTCAAATTACTTTTCTGACAGTGATCGTGTTTTGATATTTTTTAATCGAGTGTTTTTTTTTCTTTATGAGTGTATTTGATATTTTTATTATTTGTTTCAATTTAACGAAAAGTGCGACTTTGTGAATTAAGATTTTATTTCTTTTTTTTATTTTAAATTGATAAAGTTATTAACTGCAGTAAAATTGAGTATACCAATCCGGAGGTAATCACATATTGGTCAGGCAATTTCCTATACCATCAATAATAACGGGGCAAGTAAACAATAACATTATTTGATGTTAGATAGAGACAAACGTGTACAGAAGAGCGAGACAAAAGAATATCATCGATCTAAGAAAATAGAATTCTCATACGAAATGTAATGGAGGTACAATAATCGTGTAAAAGTTCACGATAGTTGCCCAACGTGAGGCGGTAACAAAACGATAACGCCAGCCTATATAGGTCTTGAACAAATCGATTTTTGTATACTTACAGTACTGAAATTAGAGGTTCGTATAATCTGGTCGGTTATAGCGGTCATCTTGGTCGGTAGATAATGATCCGTCGATGATTTACGCCGCGTTAAACCGACAATGGCACGAGATAACCCCGGGCAGTGCACAATGTGACCAATTAGCAAACTAGGAACGCTTGCCACAATGACTAAAATGAATGGGATCAACTTGGCAGAGATGACGGAACGAGACCTTACCGTCGAAGACATATTTAACGAGAACTTCAATTTGAAACGAAAGAAACCTCAATACGATTACGAAGACGCTAAAAAATCAAACTTAGTTGAAGAATCTGATCCTTTAAAATACCGCAATAACAATAACGTAATCGATAAAGATGAATCGCCTCAGAAGAAGAGGAAATCGAGAAGTTTTGGTGACAATTACGATATCGATAAGATTGTGGAATCGAATATGATAATCGATAAGGAATCGAGTAAAGTGAGACTGGAGATGAGGGAGTGTGGAGATAGTTTGGAGTATAAGACGAATGGACATGATATTGGAGTTACAGAGGAAGGTGACTATGGATTGAAAGATGGTAATGGTGTTAGGATCAATAATGAAGATAAGATTATGGATAACGACGAAGATTATCGCCTGAATGGACATGAAGAACATGCAAATGATGTGAGTAGTCTTTTGTTAATTGTTTTAATCGTATCCTACATAAACTAACACTGAAAGTGTTAAACTATTGAATATTGGATTAAGTTTATCTATTAGGGGTTTTATGAAATTCTTATCTTGCTTTCTGTACTTATTGTCTCTAATTTCGTAGTAGATAGATAACGTTTTTCTCGTTTAGGTCAAATTACAATTAGAAGTAGATTACTAATCATTAACAGCCTATATGTGGCCACTGCTGACCAAAGGCCTCTCCTCACCACCATTTTAAAGTGATGACTGGACGGTTGGCGTAGTGGTTGGGCAACTGAGTGTCGCGCAACGAGATCGACTCCCGCACGGAACAACTCTTCGTGTGATTCATAGATTGTTGTTCCTGGTCTGGATGTCATGTGTATGTGAATTTGTATGTTTGTAAACGCACCCACGACACAGGAGAAAATACTAATGTGGGGCAACGTTTAAAAAAAACTTATAATGTTCTAATTATAAGTTTTTAATTTTCTAATTATTATTAGGTCAAGTTTTTTCAAGATGTTTTCCTTCACCGTTTGTCAGTGGTGTCTAGATAATCTTAGAAAGTACATATAACTTGGTAAACTCACATTGGTACTTGCCGCTGGTAGGTTTCGAACCTGCTCTTTCATGCATGACAAGCGGGCGTCTTAAACCTTTGGGCCAGATTACAAATCACTAGACATAATACACAATTCTATGCCAATTTGTGTAAAAAATTTAAAGCTTTCATAATCTAATTGCGAATGCGACCACCCAACCAATGAGGCGGTCTAATCAACATAATTCTGAAAATATAATGCAATCAATTAATTTATTTTAAATAATGGTCACCTGTTCGGCCATTAACATTTAAAAACCAATTAGTTATGTCAAATGTACGTATCAATTAAATGTCGGGCTTCCATTGTCAAAGGAGGTTGTGCTGCAAAAAGGTTTTCGTTTATTGTCTATTAATTGTTTCGGTTTTATTTATGAGGTATAAATTCAGACTGCAATGGTTTATGTGTTAAGCTATTTGCTTGACTAAATATCGACTCTATTGTCCATGTGTATAGAATTGGCTAGTTTCCTAGGTTTAAAATAAATTGTTTCAATTTTTCAATGCAATAAATAATTAAAAAATAATCATACTCTCATCCATTGATTTGACAATTTACCTACTTTTGGATTTTCTCTCACTAATTTTAAGGAAATAAGTGTGCTATTTGACGCAGAAATATGATGACGTCATAAGTTGCGATCCAATGCAAAATTCATAGAAAAGTATCGTTTTTGACATTTCAATAAAAGTATTGAATTTAACTACGTGTCAACTACCGTATTCGAAATTTTTACTAAAATATCAATGTAAAACTTTAAAAAATTATTGCATAAGTATAAAGATATAATAGGTAGACGAAATATTTTTGAATTATTTTTTAAAAATTAGTTGATAACTTAACTGGAAACATCTAGTACCTAATTAGAGTCGATACATATCTATAGGAAAAATGTGTCGCGTATTATCGATCACGAAAAGCCGAAACAGATAAATACATAAAACATAATTATGGAACCTTTCACACTGGTGATAAGTTAATTCGGGTAGAGTTTAGCAACTTGTGTGCTTGAAGAATTTTCCATCAAATATGAACAGACCCTATCCAATTAACAACGGTGCGCCCGCTGCGCATCTCGTTTACATTTGACCGTAAAAATCATGATTCGATAGCAAACAAGATAAGCCGCTGAAATTCCGACAATACTCGACTAATATCGACAATAGTCGACTAATTTGGACAATAGTCACCTAAATGCCGTTAGTGGGCCACAATGGAGCCGGCGAGTGGAAATAATCGCGATTAGTTTACGGTCAGTGCGGCAAAATTATTTATAACATTCATATATTTGGATGTCCTTTCTACTTTCTAAATTTATTGCTCTAGTGGTCATAGGCGCGGGTGCTGAGCTTGGTGTCTTGGGTTCTTAGATATTAAAATACGCAGCAGATAGTGTCTGTAATTGTAAGAAGCTCGCTCTCGCTACTGAAATTAATATTTCTGATGGTAGGCACTATGTCAGTACGTTTACAGTAAAAGCCAGACTTAATGTTACAATGTTTTAATAATATTATTATGATCTGAAATAATTCCTACCTAAACTTTTCAGCAATATGTTTAATGTTTAGTTCTCTGAATATCTCATAGTCAAGTCTTGTAGCATCAAACTATGCGGCAGAACAAACCGCTCAACAAAACGCAAAACTTTACAACCGATGCGACGGCCGATACTAACCCATAAACTAGAAAATTGAACAAGCCAGAGACCATCCGATCTCGGCAAATACATCTAAAACTAGCTTTTACGAATGTCCAACGACAAAAACGTCAATTCTTAATCAATTTCACACCATACTCCCATCTATGTCCAACACATTAACTCGTGACCATATTGGAAGCATAGACTCGGGCCCCGTGGTCGCGCCTCTTTTTTGTAATTGTTGCTGGCCGGCAAACAACAAAACATAACCGTACCATAGATAACTAATGCACTTGTAACATGACACGTGCTGGCACGCCCGACCTTTGCACGTGTTGCAAGCCTTAATAAATAAAATAAAATATAGATGTAAGAATGTTTGTGGAGGTTGTAATAGAAGTTTTATTACTTGAGCTTTGAAGAAGTTTGCTAAGTAGTTACAATTGACGGCTATGCTAGACATTCTAGGGGCAATGAAATTACCAGCGGTAAATGACAAATGTTTATCTTTATTTTCCTCACATATGATAGTTAAACGTGAGATCCAAAGATCAATACCTGGGTCAAATAAAGTAAGTATAGTTATGCATCCGAATAAAAGAATACCACAATAGTTAAAATCTCAATAACAACCCATCGTTGTTCTTTCTTCAACATGTAATAAATAAGAAGCAGAATCGATTGACAAACAAAATCATGTAACGAAAGAAACAATCTTAGTTACTAGGAAAGTAACAAACAAAACAAAACTTCATATATATATCATCTTCCAAGATTTCATCACCTCCATTATTTAAAATATAATAGAAGCCCAAACATTTATTTAATCCACCCACAAACCACAACGCATCACTGTGTCACAATCTATGTCAACTACACACTTCAAATAACGATGCTTACGTGTCAAAAGTCAAGAGCCAACTGACCAAGTCGGGTGGTGCACCCAACTAGGTCAGGCGTTTGACCTAGGGTCATCATGTTGAACTATTAGCAAATTGTACATTATCTCTTAGGTCTTAGAGCCTCTTATTATGATGGATTAAAGTAAGTGGTGGTTTAAACGGTTTACCTTGTTTAATGTCGTCGATTATCTACGGTACTTTTTTGGTAGATAACGGAGTGTTTAGTGTGAACAAAAAATGATCGATAAACAAATTGATATTTAAAATTACATGATGAAACCAAAAAGCCTATCCTATCGTATCTTGAAGTCGCGGAGAACCTAACGGGTTACCGGGGTTTCGGCTCGAAATGCAGAAGAAGGAACGGGGTGGTTTTTAGTCAGTAAGAGTCTGACACTCCCTCCCGCCTCACCCAGGCGGGAGCAGACATTCGATGATTTTCGCCCCTTAAAGAAAATAAAAAAAAGTCGTATCTGGAAGTCATTGGGGGAGGCCTATGTTCAGCAGTGAACATTCTATGGCTGATATGATGATGATGATAATGAACCAAAAAGTGTTTTGTTAGAGTCTAGTGAAAAATTAAGTTTATTTTATGTTACTTCTAAAATACGTTCTAAATTAGCGCTTCTCCGCTATCTCAAATATTAGACGTAAAAGTGCAAAAAGTAACGTTAATAAAACAATAAAATAATGGCATACACAGTTGGAAGATTAATAAAGTTATTCCTATTTTTTATTTTTATATTTTCGTAATGCATCATCGTAAATCATTGCACAGTCGGTGTTTATAACAACATCTCTCTAAAATCAAATAGGTACTATACTAAACTAGTACAGTACTCGTCGAGTACCGTCTTTGTAGACACAATTATGGGACAATAGGTTGCGGTCACCGGTGACCGCTTGGTGTTTGACAGTTTATCAAGTACATTAACTGTATTGGTCCGCTTGCAGTAAGATAGGACTAAAAAATAGGAACAAAAACTGTTTTGCTCAAACCAGGAATAAAACGAAGAATATCTCGATTCTGGTGGGTCCTGGAACAAGTCTTAATAGTTTAGACTTTTTTATGTGATAAGCGGTTAACGAGCAGACGGATTACCTGATGGTAAGCAATTGGCATCTCCCATGTACACCCGTAACACCAGAGGCGTCACAAGAAAACTAGACTAGAGACTAGAAACTACCTACAATGTTGTGTATATTTGTGTTTATTTCAAAATGCTCTATCCATTGGCAAAATCCGTAGGAAAATCCGTTCAGCAATTTCCAAGTTCATCGCTTTCAGATAGACAGACTATACGTAAATACATACTTAGCTTTAGTATCAAGTACCAACAAATACAGTTATAATAGCGCATAACACTTTATATCGAAATCATTTCTAATATTATTATAATAATGACATCATTACAGTCTAGACTAAATCACAGACTCTGAGTCTAGAATTTGAATCTAGTTTTTAGCAGCTAGACTTACTATTGTGACTTTTTTGTCACTTTGACTAACTCGTTGGTAGAGTGAAAATTTCTCAATACGTAATAATAACACGGAGTTTGGAGAAGTGCACGGTGGAGGTGGCTTAGTATAATTATGGCAATAATTCCATCGCTTTATACTTTTTTTGCCTTGACTAGGATTTTCTCCCGTATCGTGGGTGCGTTTACAAACATACAAGTTCACATACACATGACACCCAGACCTGAAACAACAATTTGTGGATCACACAAAGAGTTGCTTCGTGCGGGAACCCGCAACACGTTACGCGGCAGCTAGTTGTCTAGCCACCGCGCTAATTGTGCAGTCAGTATATGAAACTTATTAGATATATTTATTTAATTCTTC